TAACCCTGCTTGCAAGCGAGTGGCTTTGATCTTCCAAAGCAACGCTTCCAAAATGGGCTCCAGGGTTCGCCAGCCCTCGCCATCGGTTGCTTCCAACACTGCCAGCAAAGCCCCGTCCACTCCTGTGAACGCCAAAATGGCGTTGTAAGGCCTCTGCCGTGCGCCTTTCCCAGAAGGAAAGCGCATCAGCCTTCCAACAATTCGCTTGTTTAATTTGTAGTGGCCATCGTGTCGCACACCTTGGGCACTGTTAGAGGCAGGCCAGCTTCTGCAGTGTCTCCACCATTGCAGCCACGGGGGCGGACAGCGCCTTGCGAAGGATGCTGCGCGCTGCCTGAAAGCGCTTTGCGTTTGCATAAGTCGGCGGCGAGCTAGGCTCAGACCGCGTACAGGTATGTTCACTCACGAGCCGGTTTGATACCCACGGTCAGGTGCCCCCAAATAGTAGATGTGAGTACTTCCATAAAATAAACGCATTTCAGCCTCTCCACGCCTATAGTCATGCATGTCTCTTTTAGAATTGGTACCCCAGTTTTGTAGCTTTACAGGGAAAAAGGACTTTCTTGAGCACGCAAGGGGCAAGGGCGAAGCGTGCATCAGCAAAGGCATTGGCGACCAAGCCGCTGGGCTCTTGGGCATGCTTGCGCACTGTACACCCAGTGTCCAAGGAGCCACGCCGCAGGCTTCTTGGCTTGCAGCAGACGCCAGAACACTTGCCGAAAAGATACTAGCCAGCTGGCGTCTTACGTGCCTGGCATTGATGTTCTCGTAGAAGATCAGGCACGCCTCCAAGAGAAAGCGGGATGTCAGCCAGTGTTCCTTCTGCTTTTTGGCCTGCATGACATCCCGGCAACAAACTGCCCTCCAAGCCCCATCCCTAACTCTGAGAAAGTGCAAAACACAGTCCAAACTCATTGTTTAGGGAGGACTTGTGAACTGAAGTGTCGGCTGCGCGGCCCAAATCTACATCTTGCGCCTTGTGTCGCATGGCGCCCGGGACGGCCAGTCGAACATCTGCAGCAGTGACCGGGAAGTACTGACGAACACCCCGAGCCGCGCCCTCTCTTGCGCAGGTCTGACACCGCCAGGGCCGACGATCTAGCGCCATAGGATAAGGCAAGTCCCAAACCCAAAGCGGCTCCTGAGACCTCTTGTTGCCCCACACTGCCACGCGATGTCCCCATTCTTCAGCATGAGCGGATGCCGCTTGTGGCCGGATGTGTCGCACCGCTTGCGCCTGCCTCGGCGCGGCAGCAAAAGGCGAGGTCGCGTCGGCCTGGCCCTGCAAGCAAGCCGCTGCCACCTCCAAGGGGCGCGTGTCTTGGCCTGTGCCGGCCACCTCCAGCAACAAACGCTGCGCGTTTGCTTGCACGATGTGGAAGTAAAAGCGGACATTGCTAAGAGCATCTGCTGACACAGTCTGCAGCTTGCCTAAAGTGAACCTGCTGCCATCCCGCTGGGCGCGAACCAGGCCAATGTCTGCCATGACAGCCCCCCTGAGCATGAAGGTGTCCAAGATGTAGCAAGGCTCGCCGTGCAGGTCGGCAGACAGCCCCCTCTGCGGGCCTGGCCTGGCCACGGCTGCCGGAGCATCAAAGCGGAAGAGGTTGCAGCTCTGCAGCGCCAGCAGCACTTCACGCGTCCGCCCGCTGGCCAGCCGGGCAGCAAACTGACGCAGCGTAGGCTTGCTGCTCGTTAGTCTCTCGCCGATTGGGGGCGCAAGCTCGGCAGGAGCGGCTGGCAGCGCAGCCGCTGGCCGTCGGCGCATCTTCGCGGCCTGCGCTGGACCTGCGGGCCGGGCTCCAGCGCCGCGGCCAACGTTTACAACCTGGAGGCTGGAAAGCCGAGCTCGCAGCGGCAAGCCAGCGCTCAGCAACAACTAACACAGAACAGAGCGCGCCTCACTCTCAGAGTCCTCCGCTGCGGGCTCCTCTCCAAAGCGGCCGCCGATGACCTTCAAGGGAGCAAGGGAGCAAGCGCAGCCAAACAGAATGCGAGAGCGGAATGCCCGCTCCAGCCTGTCCGCCCCACCTCGTCCTCTGAATCCCATGCAGAAGCAGCTGCCATGTCACATGTCTGCCATGGCTACAGCGCGCCCAAGTCACTTGCTGCGCTGCGTTTCGCTGCGGGTCTTGTTTTTAAGCTCGATTATAAGCACGCAGCGGCGAGCGAGGCTCAGACCGCACAACATGCGTCTTATGACATTGAGCTACAGCAGCGGCCGCAGTCAGCACGATGCTTGCGCAATGTGAATCTTGCAAAACTGCTGCCTGTCCCGCAGCAGCACACCACGTCACGAAACGAATCGGAAGGCGTGCGGCCGTGTCGTGACTTTGGTCGTACAAAGCAGCATGACGGGCGCAGCACATCCCGTGCGACTGTGACGGTGAAGGGCTTATTCTGCAACTTTGGGTGCGTAAGGGCGTGGTACTTGAGGGCGTCTTTCCCCGTTTTGGCGGGAGCCTTGCGCGGCTCCTCAGCTTTGGTTAGAAGCTTTGCGAGGCCGGACTTGTCCTTGTCATCCTTGGCTTTCTTTTATTTATGCGTGCGCGCTCGGGCCCCCGCGCGCAGCCAAGAAGCGACGCCCACCGACCGCTCGTTTTTCTCCATGTACTCGTAATACGCAGAGTGCAGCGCGATCTGGCGAAGCCACATATGCACCCCAGCCATCATCTCCCAAGCATTGATCTCGCAGCGTCTCCACGTCTCTGTCGCCTTGCCGTGTGGCGAGAACTTCTCCAGGTATTGGGCCTGCAAGCCGTTAGGTTCGCACAAGCAGCAAACACAACAAGTGGGGCTTCAGGGGCCGGTGAAGCGTGAATGGCCTAAAGAAAAACCTACGCCTCTCTCATGGCAGCAAAAGCGAAGCGCAGGATATCGGCCCCGTGGAACTGGATCTTGGCAATGAAGTAGCGGTTCACCTTGTCGCTCGCGTCCTCCTTTTTATCTGCCCAGTCCCTGACCGCTTTCCTGCACATGTCAAAACGACTTAGGCCCGCACGCATCACCCACTCCAGGACTTCACACTGCCCAAAGGCGCGCACCTGCATGGCATAGTGCGTCAACTCTTCAACACCTGCGCCTGTTATGACAGAATCTGGCTCACACTGCGAGAACGTACACATCTTGGGCCGGCTCAAGAAATGTATGCCCTGCGCGTTCTCACTCCAAGGGGTGCTCATCATGCAGCTCAGCTCGTCGCAGCTGGCGCTGGCTCTTGCGAACTTTTTGATGGCAGTTCGGATGCCTTTCAGGGTGGCCTCCGTGAGGAACACTTGAGAAAGCCAGTCCGGCGCCCCCTTCGCGTCCAACATGAGCTTCTTGGTGAAATCGTGCAAGCTCGATTTCCGGGACGATGCCTCACCTCCAAGCATCACTGGGATGTTGGGAGAGAATGTGAACACCTTCTCCACTTCCTGCACGGCAATCGCCTGGACCGAGCTGGCTCAAGCTAGCACGGCCGGCAGCAGGATCTCCATTTGACAAGTCAGAAACGGCGGGTAGACAAGATGCGGTCCGGAGCCGTTTCTGTCTCAAAACTGAAAGCAAATCTCTGCAGCACTTGACCCCCTAACAGATTGGCCGGAAGTGATGTGCGTTAGGGCCTATATTGCTACGGAACGGGTTTGTCTTGCGGGGTCTGACTAGCGGTGTTGAAAGTAACAAGGGCCGAGCAACATCTCCAAGCTCCGGCCCCTCGTCCTCCAGCGACCCCGTGCCCCGCACAGACTGGGACGGCTGCCCCTGCGATGGGGAAGGCGCCGTCGCCGGCTGGTCCGCATAGTCCTGCATAGGAAGCAAACCGGAAATCCGCTCATACACCAGTGCCTTGATGCGACTCTTGTGCGCCACAAGGGCGTCTGGCGGCATTTCTGCCTTTGCTTCGATCAGGTGTCGGATCTGCTTGCAGGTCGTAGCCTCCAAAGTCCCTGATGTGTCCAACTCCTGGATGACCGAGTCCAAAGCATCCATGACTTTCTCTGTGATGACGGGGTCCTGCCCCCATCCCCAGCCTAGCTTTGCAAACTGACAACATGCCCCCCGCCTGCCCCACGCCTCTGTTGTCTAGCTGACGAGTGGCCCGGCATCCCGACGTGGCGTGTGAGACACACGCCTCCTCCTCTTCTGGGTGCGGGGCGTGCTACATTCTGGCTCCTGCTGCGGCGCAGGGTCCAAGATACTCTTCCCGTCTGGCCTCGGCTCTGTCCCCAGTCTAGTGCGCGGGTTCTCCAACCAGGCCATGTTGGACATCACGCACAAAGCCATGGATTCCGGATGCCAGCCGTTCTTCATGCAGCATGTGTTGATGGCGGACATGAGCTGTCGCGGCATCAAGTGTCTCAAAGAGAAATCTGTGTCCTCGCCAATCTCTCTGTGTGTTTGACAATCTTTGAAGATCTGCTCAAGTGTCAGTGATGCTGCTGTAAATTTCATCAGCGTCGCTGAAACCTTCGCTGATGTCTTCCGGCCACAGCGCCCTCATCAAGGTGTCTTCATTGACAGCTTCGTGAAGAAGGCGAATCTTGGCCCTTGTGGGGTCAGGCTCCTTCACCGACGCAGCCAGCCTGGCACCCTTGAGCTTGAAGCCACCTGCAAGCTTAGCGCCATGGGCGTGATGCCATGCAAGACACCGCATCAAGACGTCACACCACACAACAGCTAACAGCCACCACTTTTGTCTTCCACGCCTTGGTTAAGCATCGGGCAGGAGAAGAGGCGAGCTAGGCTCAGACCCCGTATGAAGCCTGTGCGCGCGGCTTCGCTGCGCTGTGAGCAGAGACCTGGCGCAAGCCTTGCGGCCGCCACCCCTGTCCTTGCCAATCTCTCAATGCACGTGCAAAGCAGGGCCCTAGCATCGTCTGACAAAGTGGGAGCCGACTCGTGCCCTGACTCAGGCGGCGGCCTGAGCCGCTGAGCAAAAATGCAAATCAGTGAAGAAAGAAAATGACTGCGGTGAGCGAGGCTCAGCACGGCAACCGCCAAGCAAACCATCTGACTTGTTAGACTGCTGCGAGCGGCCGCTGCTCCGGAGCACTCAGCCGGCTCAGCAGATCAGCATGATCAAACGTCAGATCGGTGCTGTCGCATGCCATGGTAGAGACCCTTCTCCGGAGGGCCAGAAGGTCATGAACTGGATCTCCTGCAACCACTGTAAGAGCACCAGGGTCTTGTACACGGCGCCTCTTCGCAGGGCCCTTCTTCGTGTTGCCCTGGCTGCCGACAGCGCAGTCCCGCCACAGCCTCTTGTACAAGGCCTCTAGTTTGAGGCGCTGCGCCCGAAAATTGTCAGTGCAGTGGAACGTGGGGCAGCTTTGGAGCAAGGATAACCCTGCTTCCAAGCGCGTGGCTTTGATCTTCCAAAGCAACGCTTCCAAAATGGGCTCCAGGGTTCGCCAGCCCTCGCCATCGGTTGCTTCCGGCACTGCCAGCAAAGCCCCGTCCACTCCTGTGAACGCCAAAATGGCGTTGTAAGGCCTCTGCCGTGCGCCTTTCCCAGAAGCGCATCAGCCTTCCAACAATTCGCTTGTTTAATTTGTAGTGGCCATCGTGTCGCACACCTTGGGCACTGTAGAGGCAGGCCAGCTTCTGCAGTGTCTCCACCATTGCAGCCACGGGGGCGGACAGCGCCTTGCGAAGGATGCTGCGCACTGCCTGAAAGCGCTTTGCGTTTGCATAAGTCGGCGGCGAGCTAGGCTCAGACCGCGTACAGGTATGTTCACTCACGAGCGGGTTTGATACCCACGGTCAGGTGCCCCCAAATAGTAGATGTGAGTACTTCCATAAAATAAACGCATTTCAGCCTCTCCACGCCTATAGTCATGCATGTCTCTTTTAGAATTGGTACCCCAGTTTTGTAGCTTTACAGGGAAAAAGGAAAACCAAAATTTTGAGCTCCCTAGAAAAAGACACCCAGTGGTTTTCCGGGGCCCAAGATTTGGCATTCCTTTCTTGAGCACGCAAGGGGCAAGGGCGAAGCGTGCATCAGCAAAGGCATTGGCGACCAAGCCGCTGGGCTCTTGGGCATGCTTGCGCACTGTACACCCAGTGTCCAAGGAGCCACGCCGCGGGCTTCTTGGCTTGCAGCAGATGCCAGAACACTTGCCGAAAAGATACTAGCCAGCTGGCGTCTTACGTGCCTGGCATTGATGTTCTCGTAGAAGATCAGGCACGCCTCCAAGAGAAAGCGGGATGTCAGCCAGTGTTCCTTCTGCTTTTTGGCCTGCATGACATCCCGGCAACAAACTGCCCTCCAAGCCCCATCCCTAACTCTGAGAAAGTGCAAAACACAGTCCAAACTCATTGTTTAGGGAGGACTTGTGAACTGAAGCGTCGGCTGCGCGGCCCAAACGCCTTGTGTCGCATGGCGCCCGGGACGGCCAGTCGAACATCTGCAGCAGTGACCGGGAAGTACTGACGAACACCCCGAGCCGCGCCCTCTCTTGCGCAGGTCTGACACCGCCAGGGCCGACGATCTAGCGCCATAGGATAAGGCAAGTCCCAAACCCAAAGCGGCTCCTGAGACCTCTTGTTGCCCCACACTGCCACGCGATGTCCCCATTCTTCAGCATGAGCGGATGCCGCTTGTGGCCGGATGTGTCGCACCGCTTGCGCCTGCCTCGGCGCGGCAGCAAAAGGCGAGGTCGCGTCGGCCTGGCCCTGCAAGCAAGCCGCTGCCACCTCCAAGGGGCGCGTGTCTTGGCCTGTGCCGGCCACCTCCAGCAACAAACGCTGCGCGTTTGCTTGCACGATGTGGAAGTAAAAGCGGACATTGCTAAGAGCATCTGCTGACACAGTCTGCAGCTTGCCTAAAGTGAACCTGCTGCCATCCCGCTGGGCGCGAACCAGGCCAATGTCTGCCATGACAGCCCCTTTGAGCATGAAGGTGTCCAAGATGTAGCAAGGCTCGCCGTGCAGGTCGGCAGACAGCCCCCTCTGCGGGCCTGGCCTGGCCACGGCTGCCGGAGCATCAAAGCGGAAGAGGTTGCAGCTCTGCAGCGC